AAAAATAAAAAAATAAATAAAAATAAAAATTACATGATTATTGGACAAAGAGTTGTTTATAATAGTAATTATAAATAATTACACAGTCACCATCAATGTCCTAGGGCATATAAATCTTTGCCAGTGTCACTAATTATTTTGCTAAGGACCAATATTTGGGCAAATAGACACATACAGAAAAAAATTTTTGAGGTTGTATTAATTATATTTAAATTCCATTTTTTTGTACCAGTTGAAGTTTTAAAACTTATTTAGAGTCATTATTATCTATCATTAAAGTAATTATTATCTATTAGTAAATATAATTGTTATTATATTTGTTATTAAAGAAATAATCTCTCTTTAAGGGAACTAATTTAAACACTTCATAAAACTTCAATGAGCAGAAAGGCAAATTATTTTATTTCAGTTAACAAATAGCGGTTTTCCACAGGTCTTCCGTAAGACCCTGAACACAGACACTTGGTAATAGATGCTTTTCAATGAAGATTCTCTGATACTCAGTGCCTACTGTAAAACTTAACACAGTAAGGTTATCAACTGCATAAGTTATTATTATGTATTGACTAAATAATTTATTTGAGTTTCTATTACTTCTTCTATGAATTAAGGAGATGACCCAGCACTGCCCACCTCCCAGTGATGCAAAGTAAATGAATGAGTGAGTGAGTGTTTGCAGGACCCACAGGGCAGCGCCTCACTGTACTGTGGCCCAGGGAGGGAACATGACAACTCTGAGTGTTGATGCCATAGTTAATATTCTTCTCACCATTATATCCTCATTATAGATGATGTTGCTCCTCCATTCCTGTCTCCAGAGTCCAAAAACTTCTTACAAACCTTCTTCAGCACTGATCGTGTTTATTGTACTCCCCCATCCTTAGCCACTGCTTCAATGGTTTCAACATTGATATAGGCGACGCAATAAACATTACTTCCTAGGGCCAAGACCTGGTCAACCCTGATGATCATAACCTTCGCCTTACTCTGTATAAACACAAATCAAATTGTCACTCTAAAATCACAAACAATGACAATTTCCCCTCACAAAGCAAGTTCCTACTTTCATATTTTCCTCACATAGTAACCTGGCCTCCAGGACGTCTTTCTTTTTTCTCTTTTTTCGGCCAGGGCTGGGTTTGAACCCGCCACCTCCGGCATATGGGGCCAGCACCCTACTCCTTTGAGCCACAGGCGCCGCCCATGGACATCTTTCTTTTATTCTAATATGTCTGTCAGCACCACTGGCTCCCCCAGCACCCTGCTCTACCTTAATTCCACGGTCACTCATGTCTTCTTCAACGTTGAAGATAAATAACAAATTTACAAACTCCTCAACCTGAGTGGGCCCTACTGATTAGTTTTCTTACCCCGGCCCTGTCTTCCCTACCTTTACTGAGTTGGTCAGACCGACTTGGCCCCCAGGACTATTCCACAATCTTCGTATCCCCTGTTCCTTGCAGCCTTCCACTTTCACAATTTCTGTTACCCTCTGGCCCCAATTTCACGCTCACCCAATCACCCTCACTTTTGTAGACAGTCTTATATTCAACTTTAATTTAAAAAAAAAAAAAAAGGCCTTCCAAGAGGAGCTTTCTCAAACTCTCCCTTTTCTTTCTCAAAAGCTTTCTATGTTTCATTGTTTTGCCTTTTATTCTTTATTTCCTCTGATAGGGAAACCTGCTGCTCTTTTTCAAGGCTGTCCACTGCACCTTTGCCCACAATCTCAACTGTCTGCACTCTCCTGATAGTTCCTAACTTCTAAATCTTTGGTCTCTGTCATCGATTGCTGGTTCTTCCCAGCCTAGGCAAAAAATGTTCATCCCAGATTTCCTAAAAATGTCCTTTTCTCTAGAGAGGTTTTAAACTCTCTCTCCATTTCACTGTACCTTTTCTGTTGCTATTCTCTGCTCAAAACGTTTTCACCACCTACCCCACCTCTTTGGTACCCAAATCATCTCTCAGCTCCTTTTAGGCTATCTCAACTCTTACTTCTCAGATCGGCTAATCACCCAATCCAGAGAGCAACTTGCTACATTAGAACCAATTAATAAAATATTTTAAATATTTAATTTTTTTATTCAAAATAAAAGCATTCTTCAGCTTGAACTTTTCATATTGTGGAATAGAAAAATGCCAGTAAGAACTGCCATTGCTTTGTAGCCGCTAAAACATAAATAGCTGTGTATTTTTTTTTCAATGATCTTAAAAATCACTGTTTTAGGAACAAAACACAATGACAGATGTTTTTCTCAAATCGAATCATTTTTGTCTTAAAGATGAAATTACATGTGCATAGATTAATCATAACAATTCTATAGCATTTTTTAGGATCAAAAGGGAATTAACCTTCTGTGATTCACTATCCATTTCACTTCTACAAAAAAAAAAGAAAGAAAGAAAATCCAGTCACAATAGCAGTGTGCTCTGACTTCCCCACAGAGCTCTATGTCTGCCTCAGTCTGGTACATGTCCTCACTGCGTCCACACTGTCATGACCACAGAGCCTTTCCTGTTTCCCCTGTTAGACGGAAGGCCTTGATAGTACACATCACAGTGTTTGTTTGTGGAAGGTTCTCTGAACATGAAAATTAGTCCCGTCCATCTAGAGCTTTTTAGTAAGGATGGGTCATTTTTTTTCCAGTAACACTGCCTATCACTTTCTGTTGCTGCCTGTGAGCTGTGATTGATTTCAACAGCTATAGTTGACATTGACATTCACATCCTTGTGTTTGCATCTAAATTATTTTTTCTTTTTCTATAAAATATAATGCTAATTGGTGGATGTTTCCAGGCACAAAGTGCAAGAAAAAAATCAAATCTATGATTAAGTTCCCTCCAGAAATGTTGAATCCCAACTTGCATCCTTTCCCTTTTTGCAATCAATTTTCATTACGAAATACATATTTCATTAAGGTGATTGCCTAGTTTGATGAGATGCATACTGAAAATGCAATTTCTCATGGCTCCTCAGAATGGTTTGTACTTACCTGTATGCTCTGCTCTGACCCGTAGGTCCCCCAGGTCCCCCTGGGGTAGTAATTGTTGAGGAAATCACTGAAAGCACGGCCACACTGTCCTGGAGCCCAGCAGCTGACAACCACAGCCCCATCTCCTCCTACAACCTACAAGCGCGCAGCCCGTTCTCCCTGGGCTGGCAAACGGTGAAGACAGGTAAGAGGCTCCAAGGCAAGGTCAGCCACATGGGGCAGCTTCTCGGCTCATGAATTAGAGTTGCTTACAATCTCACTTGGATCCTTTTTGGATCCTGAAAACTCTTTGTGAGTTGTTACAATAGTGACAAAGATTTGCCTGATTTTTACAAACCCAAAAAGAGCAAGGTACCTTATTTTCCTGTCACTCCAATTCCCACATCATGTTAATTTATTTGTTGAAATAACTTTACATTCACATAAAAGTTGCAAAAATAGTACATAGTTCCTGTCGACTTGACCCCCCATTTTCTCGTCTTTCCCCACCTTACAAACTGTAGTACACTGATCAAATCAAGACACTGATATCAGCACAATGCTATTAACCAAACTTCAGGCCTTACTCAATTTCACTAGGTTCAGTATAGAAATTTTTAATGTATATTTCTATTCAAGTAACCACCAAGACGATCAGACTGTGGAACTTGGCCCAAGCCCTCAGTTCCTTGTCACGTACCTGTTGCATTTATACAAAGAGAAATCAACATACAATTACATCGTTTAAAGTAGTCTCGTGTTTCAGCTGAAATTCCCTGGTCCTGGGTTCTCAGAGCAAAGAAAGAGGTCTGGTACCAAGTTGGTGATGGAGTAAAGGCAGCTGCTCACAGGCCGCTCTATCTTTTCTACAGCAAGACAGAAATACGAAGTGAAGGTCCATTCCAAAGAAGGGATGGGTCTGTCTCCTCCAGGGGAGAAGACCTTGGGAACTTTTCTCTGCTTTTATGTTTGTAGCTAAGGGTATCAGAACTCAGGGTCCTCCCCACTCCTGACCTTAAAAGGTCGCTTCTAGGGGTTGCCATGCCAGCTATAAATTGCCGTGGCACTGGTGGGTGTGATTTTTACCATGCTAATGCAGCTGAGACAGAAGGTCATCTTGGGGTGTGAGCTCCGGGTCCTGCACACCATCCAAGCCCAGAAAGGTCCCTGACCTGGCCTTGGTGGTTTTAGTGCCAGCTGCTCACAGATGTTCATCGATCTCCTCAGGTTCGCTCCCTTCCTGTGGTGAAGGTGTTAAACTATCAGCCTGTGACAAGCTGTCAGCAGGCACCTGCTGTTGTCCCTGACAGTGGTGCAGTATTTTAACACCTGCCTCTAAAATGTTTGCATTATAGTTGCATTATTTAAAATCCCTAATGGTTTTCTTTTCATATTATAACAAAACTTCCCCTATCTCATCAAACCCTCATTTAGTATCCATTCTGTACTTATTGAACATGTTGGTCTTTGAAAAGTGTGAGCTAAGTCTGCAAAATGGAATCTTCAGAACAGTTGTCCATACTGACTAAAGATTTGTGATTTATTTTAAAATTGACTTATCTGTTTAGAAGTGAAATATAAAAATCAGCAAAATATTTGAGCACAATATCATACAAGTCACCCAGAATATTTCAGGAGTGGAGTTGTCCATTTAATTGCTTAGGTAAATGAAATCTGAACAGAAACTTATTTTTGTAGAAAACTTTACATTTGTAGAGAAGGGACGTATCTTTTCAACATGCAGAATATTATTCAGAATTTTGTTGATATCCAAGCTCCTTTATTGAATAATACTTCAGTTGAATATTATTATGGCATATATATATGTCTATTATGCATGCATACGTATTTATTTTATAGTATATATAATTGTGAGTATTAGCCCCATTCCTGACTCCATTAAAACCTTGTGTTACCTCTGCATATCCCCCAATTGGGAGCATCTCTGGGTATGGTTAGTTAAAAAGGACACAAATTCTAAGCATTCAAACAGAATTACTCAAGAAATCTTAAAACCTCCAGCCCAGTGCTTCCATCTCATTCTCAGTATGACTGCTCAAAAGTTTGACTTCACAGCCCGGACATGGATTCACTTCAGGTCTGGGGTCATCCACTCATCTAAGCCATCCTCCCTACTACATCTGCGCCCTGTCCACTCCCACCACCCTAGCTGCAGCCACGCCCTGCCCACTCCCACCACCCTAGCCAGGCCATTTAGTCTGGGGGAAGTTTTCCTTATAGGTACATTGCAATACGTGTGCATGGTTCCTTCCCGATCTCACACCCATGGCCAGGACACCTCCTTCTCCACCTGCCTGTCCAGACCGTCCAGGCTACACTTCCTCTCTGAATCCTGCCTTTGGGTTTCTTTCTTGGTTCACCTGATTCTACATTGTGTGTTTGTGTATATGTGCATGTGTGTGTGTAGGACTTAGGAATTTGGAGTAAATGTTATTTTTTATGTTTATTTGTTTCAGAAGTCCCTAAGAGAAAGTTGTACCTTTATCTTTCTAACATGATGCTGGAAATAGTTTAAAGTTGAGTGTCTTTTTTTTAATTCAGTTCAGCAAGTATAGTACTTATTTTTTAAAAACTTACGATTGTGCTGTATTTATAAGGAAATATAATGTTTTATAAATAGATTTCTATAAGTGGTCATTCATCCTTCAGAGTTCCATGGCGCTCACCAAACTCATTTCTCCAAATGCAGCATTAATTGCAGCTATTAGCCGAAGCTTGCCATCTTCAGGCAGACTTGCTGAGGAGCTCAAGTTTTACATACTCCAAAACAGACGTTTTAAATGCTTTCTAGTTTTAGCTTAATCTGATCATGACTTCTTTTAGGCCTATCATGAGGTGAGAAGTCTCTCTGGAGCCACACCAACTCCACTGGGGCAAGGGCCTTTTGTTTTCATAGTTGTTCCTATAATTTAAATGAATTTCAGACAAAATAGACTCTAATCCAAAAATATCTAATAGGGCCGGGCATGGCGGCCCACACCTATAATCCTAGCACTCTGGGAGGCCAAGGCAGATGGATTGCCTGAGATCACAAGTTCGAGACCAACTTAAGCCAGAGCTCAATACCTCATCTCTAAAAATAGCTGGGCTTTGTAGCAGGCACCTGTGGTCCTAGCTACTTGGGAGGCTGAGGCAACAGAATCGCTTAAGCCCAAGAGTTTGAGGTTGCTGTGAGCTGTGACACCACAGCACTGTACCAAGGGCAACAAAGTGAAACTCTGTCTCAAAAAAAAAAAAAAAAAAAAAAGAAAGAAATGGGGTGGTGCCTGTGGCACAAAGGAGTAGGGCATCAGTCCCATATGCTGGAGGTGATGGGTTCAAACCCAGCCCCAACCAAAAAAAAAGAAAAGAAAGAAATATCAAAATGTCTAATAGGAAAAGAAAAGATGGATCTGGAGTTTAACTCTAATAAGTTAATGCAATTCATAATGTATTATTTGAAAAGCACTTAAACTTCCTTTATACACCAAAATGTTGTAAAGAATAAGTTTCCAATTTGGGGCAAATGAAGCTGCATATGAACCTTCCAGCTGAACACAGCTTGGAATGAATTTATGAACATTGCTGCCTACAAATGAGACTTAGCTCATACTTTAAAAAGCAATGATGAATTTAGAATTTTCAAAAAAAAAATTTTTTTTTTTACTTTAAAGAGAGGTTAGAAATAGGGTGGTGTGCAGAATGTGGACTTGGACAGGGAATCTTTACTACCTATGGTTATGACCAGGAAGATATAAATATGTGTACCCTTGAAAGGAAGGAAACTTTTTATATATATTTTCTTTTTAACATAAAGCCTATAATAATTATATCAAGATTCAAATAAATCAATTAAATTGCCAATGTTGATCACATCAGGTAATTTGAAGTCTACTTTCATTCATACAATAAAAATTTATTGAGTACCTTACAGGTGGTGTTCTAGGCACTTGGGAAATATCAATGAACAACAAACAAATCCTGCCATTGTGAAGATCATATTCTCATGAGTGATGAAAACAATACAGAGAGAACAAAAAACACAGTTATATAGTATCTTGGAAGTTGATGAGGACAATCATCATCTTGTAAGATACTATATAATTAAGATCTTAATTTAAAAATGACTAAAAAAGGTTTGGCTCATAGCTCAAAGAGTAAGGTGCCAGCCACATACACTGAAGCTGGTGAATTCGAGCCCAGCCCAGGCCTGCTAAACAACAATAACAACTGCAACAAAAAATAGCCAGGCATTGTGGTGATTGCCTGTAGTCCCAGCTACTCAGGAGGCTGAGACAAGAGAATCACTTAAGCCCAAGAGTTTGAGGTTGCTATGAGCTGTGATGCCACAGCACTCTACCCAGGGCAACATAGTGAGACTCTGTCTCAAAAAAAAAGAAGTATTGGAATATGGGCAGTGTATTAGCCAACTCCAGCCATAGCCTGGGTGTATTAAACAAGAGAAATTTATTTCATCCCAGTTCTGGAGGTTGGGAATTCTAAGATCAAAGTATTGATCATCCCATTCCTGGTGTGAGTTCCCTTCTTGGCTTGCAGATCTCCACCTTCTCACTGTGTCCTCACAAGGCACAGAGAAATTGAGAAAGAGAGAAGGAACGAGAGAGAGAGGGAACAGGATAAAGAAAGGGGGGAACAAAGAGAGAGAAGGAGCAGGAGAGAGAGAGGGAACGGGATAAAGGGGGGGGAACAAAGAGAGAGAAGGAGCAGGAGAGAGAGAGGGTGAAGGAGGGGCAGGGAGGGGAAGGGAGGAGAGAGGAGGGCAGGCAGAGAAGCCCCATATCCAAACAAACATGGGTTCATATCTAAATATAGATAAATCATGGTTTAGAGCTTCAATGCATCAATTCCAGCAGGACCCGATTCAGTCCATAGCAGAAAGACTGCAATTGAAATGGATTGGTCAGTACATGCCTTATTTGAGTGAACGTTGAAGGAGGTGTGGATTTAGTTGTGCCATCATCTGGGGGAAGCAGGCCACACCAGAGAAACAGCCGGTGCTAATGTTTCAGAAGCATTATAATGTGGAAGGACTGGAAGGCCAGTGGGCAGGAGCAGAATTAGTCTTAAGGAGAATGGTAGAAGATGAGCTTGGACAGATACTGGCTGGGCCAGATCATATGGTACTTGGAGTTTCATCCTGAGAAAGATGGAAAGACCCTGGAGGGCTGCTAATCTGCGTCTCATCTTTTATTACAGTCGTTTGGTCTATGTTGAAAAATAGACTATGGAGGGGGTTAGTGAAGAGGCATAAAGTAGTTAGGAAGCTGTTGTATCTAAAGATGATGGAGCTGCAACATCACAGAAATAGAGGTCATAAAAGTGGTCAGGATTTGAAAATATTTGGCAGGTAGGGCCCATAGGATTTCCTGATAAAGCTGCTATAAAGAGTATAAAAGTAAAAGGTCAATTGTCAGATTTTTGGTCTGATCAACTCAAGGACGGAGTTGCCATCACTGGCTGACACAGAGAAGGTGTTATGTGGGGAACAGATTGGGGTGGGAATGAAGTAAAGAGTTTAGTTGGAAACATACTAAGTTTGATTCATCTCCCAGACATCCAAATGGGGATTTCAAATAGACATTCGGATATACGAGTCTGAAGTTTAAGAGAGAGATTTAGGATAAAGTTACAAATTAGGAATTTATCAGCATATAAATTATATTTTAAAACATGAGACTGCATGTCAGCTGCATGAAAGAAAGTATAAAGAGCAAACGGTATGAAAATGGAGCCCTGAGGAGTTTCGATAGTAGGAAACGGTGGAGCTCGGGAACCAGCCAAAGGAAGCAGGAAGCAAGCAGCCACTGGGGCAAATGAAAACCAAACTCCTGTGATATCCTGGAAGACAAGAGAATAAAATCCACCATGGAAAAGAGGTGAACCACCTGTGTCACATGCTGCTGATGTAACAAGGACAATGAGGACAAAAAGGGGTCTTAGGGTTTAGCCACCCCCAGGTTCTTGCTGACCTTGATGAGAGCAGTTTTAGTGGAGTGGGAGGCATCAAGGTCTGACAAACTGGGGTTCAAGAGAGAATGGGAGAAAAATTGATATGGACAACTTTTCTGAGTAGTTTTCCTGCTCAGAGAAGTGGACAGGTCGATGTATTTTGAAGTCAGAGAAGTCATAATTTGTTCATGAAGTAGAACAGGGGAGAATGAATCCAGGATAGACCTAAAATTTGATCTGTGAGGAAGTAATTGCCATTCCCAAACTGCAGAATCTGTTCAATCATCATGTCTCATAGGCCACTGAACACACAAGTCTGAAGTCCAGGGAAGACATTTACAGCTGAAAATACTGGGGTCACCAGCACGTCAGAGCCATTTAAAAACATAAGGCTGGATAAGATCACCATGCAGTAAGAAAATGGAAAAGAGTTAACAGAATCGGGCTGCATCTGGACAATGAAAAAAACAGCCATGGAGAGTGATAAGGCATAATTGGGTTGGTGAGAAACAGAAGTCAAGTTTTTGAAAAGTGTTTCAAAGGGAAAAGTGATTAATTGCATGGAAGGATGATGATAGGTCAACTTAGAGGAGGAGCAGAGACCTGCCCGTAAGGTTTCGGTAACAAAGACAATTGAATTGGTAAACTTGACAAGAACAAGTATGGTAGACAGCTGGAGGTGAGAGCCTGACTGGAGCGGCTTCGAGAGAGAGAACGGAAGGAAAATAATTGGTGACAATAAGAAACAGCACAAATAGCTCTCAACGAGTTTTGATATAAAAGAAGCAGAGAAATTGGGTGAAGGCTAGAAGGAGAAAAAAATGTTTAAAAGTGTGATTGTAATGGAAAACATCCATTAGAGACACCTGTCGGCAGAAAGAGCAGGCTGGCTCTTCTACACAATCCCTTAAGAGGACCATTCTGAAGAAGGGAAATGTTTTCACAGTAAAAAGTTAGGAAAATGTTCAGAGGACATTGAATAGATAGGGGAGTTTGTTAGTGATGACAGATGATAAATTTCAACAGTCACAGTGGAAGAACTTGAAGAATTAGAAATATCAGCTTAGTAGAAGAAGAAGAAGTATACAGATTCTGTGGAGATTAGAATAAAAGAGGTGAAGGAAGGCCCCACCTCGGGAGTTTCTTGAGATTAAGGACATAAACAGAAGTATTATTGAAGGGCAAGGTAAGTCCTGGTGGACCCAAGGCAAGTATTGGTGCTACAGTGTAGGTTGAGGCCCAGCAAGGGTGACGTGTCTGGGACACCCCTCTCCCCATCTTTATGTTGGCAAGCATTTCATCAGACTATGGACTGAACAGTGGCCCTTTTCCTTCCCACGTCTTAGACTCTGAGGAAATTTCTCAGTTGCTAGGCAACAGGAATGGATTCTCCGTGCTGTGGAATTTGTCCGGTAGCCTGCGCTGCCTGTACTCTGATCCTTTACCTTTCCAGAGCTGTTCCTTTGGTAACATGCTTTTGCTACACATCAGAACTGAGCTTCGTGGAAAATCCAAGATGCTTTTCATTCCTCCTCTCCACAGAAAAACTGAATTGAGTCATCCACCCTGGAGCCCCACCCACTTGGCTCTACTGCTGGGCTCACACAGAAATGGGACTGTCCAGAGGTTCTCACACCGTAATGGAGTCTCCACTCCCCGCCTTTCCTCCCTGTAACAAATGTAGACATCAGAGATGAGGGAACGAGAAAAGTCGTCCCCAATAGGCATACATGCCACATAAAAAGTACTTGCCCACATGGTAATTGTGCTGAAAAACAATTCTATGCTTTGATAACAATGTAAATGTATTACAAGTGTTGCTCTGATTCAGAGTTTCCAGGTAGAGAGAACAAACTGTGTTTAAACTAGACAAGTATATTCTTACTTTGCTTGGAAATGTCAGTGGTTGAACCTGTTAGCCTGAGAGGAAAGGCAAACTGCTCAAGGAATTTCCTGGAAATTGAAAGAAGAAACTCTTTGTTTAAATTATCGTTCTACTGCCCCCCTAATCTGGGGCTGAGGATTTGATGAAATGATTTTTAGTTGTAGGTAATGGCAAGTTCTGTGTAAACATAAGATGAAAGATTTCTAATTAATCCCAACAAACTTTGACGTAGGCAAGTGCTTACTGTCTGAAGATTGATTTTCATTTTGCTGTTGACACAGAGACGACACCACAACCATGTGTTATGAGCACACGCGTGCATTCTGGCAGTACCAGCGATGTCCTTGATTGCGATGGGAGTGTTTTTACAGTCTTTCTAATGATCTGAAATCTCCCTCCTCTAGTCCCAGAGATCATAACAGGAGACATGGAGTCAGCCATGGCCGTGGACCTGAATCCCTGGGTAGAGTATGAATTTCGAGTGGTAGCCACCAATCCAATTGGGACGGGAGATCCAAGCACCCCATCTCGAGTGATCCGCACAAACGAAGCAGGTAAAACTCGCCGCATCAGAGTTCTCTTTGCTATGCCTCTGAGGGCTTTGAAAGCAGATTGAATTAACCGTAACTGTTACATTGCTTGCCTTAGCACACTTTGTCCTGATTCATCTCCTTAGAAAATATAAAATCATTTCTTTGAAAATAATTCTTTTACTTTATTTTGAGACTTTCCCCCTTATTTCCACAAATAAGCTCACCTGAGTGCTTGGGTCTTCCCTAACCCTTGCACCCATCTCCAAGTTTCCATGAAACTGAAGCAGTTAATTTAGTCTAATAATACACTCGATCACTATGGCGTGTCCAGAGCTCCAGAAGGGATCAGCTCACATTCTTTTTCTCCACTGATTCACACTTTCCTTTAGCAGAGTAGATCTCCTTAGAATTTTTTTGTCACCCTTCACCATGTAACCTACATAAACTACACTCTGCACAAACATAGTCCTTTTTTGACCTACCACCTTCTTTGAGTCTGTGTGTTAAACGATTACAGACCTGATTTTTTACTTTGAGAACAGCATTCTTCTGGTCTTTTAGAATAAGTATTTTTTTATAAAATGTTTCTAATGATCACATAAGAGAAGGAAACAGCTTTATTTAAAAATAAGTTTTAGGATTTCTTGCCTATCGCATTGAAGGAGAGAGCAGAAGAATAAACAAATGAAGAATAGAGCTTTTACTTTTTTTTGCAGTTTTTGGCCGGGGCTGGATTTGAACCTGCCACCTCAGGCATATGGGACCAGCAGCCTACCCTTTTGAGCCACAGGGGCTGCCCAGAATAGAGCAGTTTTTGAGTAGTTTTTTTATTACTTCAAACAAAGTCTTACTGACATCTGTTTTTCATGTCCCTAGAAAACTCTATGTTAAGAAAGTACCTGGAAAGGCATTTAGGGCTGATGAAAATTACATGGAAACAATAAAACAAGCAGATGGGGGAGTGAGAAAGGGAAGAATGGCGATAGGTACAAGGGAAAAAAAACACATTTTAGTATTTTTATGCTCAGTGATAATATAGGAATATTAACAAAAAGTTCACTGAAAATAAAGACGTATCTTATTTATTCACTGTCCTACACTGGAACTTAACACAGTGTGGGGCATTGGTACTTTTCAAGGGAACATTATTTTTCTTTCCTCTACACACCCCCCACCACGGCCGTCCCTCCCTCACCTCCGACAGCACCTACAGCGGAGATGCACGTATGTAGGAGACTGAGAATTCACTGTGTCCACTTCACATGATAATTATAGAATTAGACCAAAAGTATGAATTTTTACTTTGAACAAACTCCAGGATTGTTATCCTTAAAATAAACTTAAAATAAAGTAATCCTTAAAATAAACTGTGGAAACAATTGATTCCTTGTCAAAAGCACACTATGCCTGGTCTTTTAAAAAAAAGAAAGAAAGTAAAGAATTCTAAATGGTCAATTTATGGTATTAAGTGCAAATAGCCATACAAACAATGTTTTTCCAATGTAAAAATTAAGCAACCAAGAAAATAAAAAATAAAGTAGCCTCACTGTGTCAGAAAGATTCATCCACAGAAAATCCAACTTTTCTACTTTTGTGGTTTGTTCATTACAGGTTGTTTTTTCTGCTTTTTCAATAGTTAGAATTTTAAATTGAACATTAATTGCCTGGTTAGATTTTCACACATCCATAAAATCAGCCATGCTTTTATTGTGCACAGGTGTTCATTAATTAAGAGCATAACAGGTGAGTTGTTCTTCATTTGACGTACTCACCGTGCAGATACTGAAATCACTGCCAATAGTAGCACTTATGCTCACCTACTTTCTAAAAGCCCTGCCTTACTTTGCATATTGTTAATTGTGTTTAAACAAAGGCAAAGATTACTGCCTAAATCAGAGACTATCTATAAATACTCATTTCAAAAATAAATAATCCATTTGGGATGAATAATCCTTTTAAACTTTTTATAGTATGAATCTCCTTGTGCTATTAAAAAGCATTTTAGCAAAAACACTTTTACATTTCAAGCTAGATTGTATTCCACTGATGCATTTTAAAAGGCGTCTTCGTCTATTTCTGCAGCTACCTCAGTCGTGTATTGGCTGCCTCTCTACTTTATCATGAGTTCTATATACATAGCATATTTCAGGCCATTAAAATCTCACAGAAGAGGAGAAATAGCATGAAATATACATGAAGGACTATCCTCTGAAAGCAGCTGAGCGAAGCTCGTTTTGCCCTCTTTATGCTTCTTGTGCTCCGGCACCACATAGGGCTGCAGCTTCTCACGGTGCTGAGTCGAGTGTTGAGTTCTGCTCCTGCCTTCTCAGGCAGCACAGATTAAAAGCAACACCAGTATCTTGAGACAGCCTCGCAAATGACGCACTCTGCCTCTATTAAGTACATAGCCTGTAATTCAGAAGAAGATCCTGTTCTGAAAGGCCAACTAAACTTTGAAAATTGACAGAGCTGCTTGGAAGAGAAAAGGTCTCACATTAGGGATATTGAATTGAAAGTTTTATGCCTCTTTGAAAATCTCTTATTTAATAGAATATTCAAAATTCCAAAGCAGCCTTAGCAAAGCATTTTTCCCTTAGAAGCGCTCCTTTCCCACACAGCAAAAAATTAGAATTTTCCTTGCAATTTTCCTCTAGAGTATACTCTGAATTTTCCAGCCATCAAAACACTCTTGGTAGCCAACTAAGATGAGAAAAATTAATTCTGTGCACCTTGTTGGTATTAGGGTGTCAAAATGGTAACACACATATTGTTTACTTTAGTGCACATTTATATTTGTGTGTTTATAGTGAAATTTTTGCATAAATTTTACTTGGAGAATAGATAGATAGGTGGATAGATAAAAATAGATCACCCCATGTTTAATTTTTGAGATGTGTCACTATCTTCAAACCAATGTATAAATTTAGGATGAGGTAATGTAAATGCTTTCACTTCTGTTTTAAAAGATGACATTCAAGAGAGAAAAATCACAATTTAGAAAATGAATTTGAAATATGCATTATAGGAGAAAAGGAAAAACATGTAGAGATAACAAAAGTAATTGATTGAACTTTCATATTCTATAAGTTACATATTGGTAAAACCTTGGAAAGATGAATAAAAAGGAGGGAAAATGGACCATGTACGTTGTCATTCACAAAGGATTCTTCTTCTTTATAATAAAATTTCTATTATCTTCAAGGATCTTGGTATAAGTCTCAATAGATGCAGTTTCTCTATTTTAAATTTTAATGAACTATACATACACAGGCAAATATTCACGTATATACATATATGTAAATGTTATATATATGTATTTTTTAAAAAAAGAAAAAGGTCTTACCTATAATTTAGAGTTTAATCTTAGATTTGGATTAACGTTCTATCATGCCACTTAATAGCAGTGTGAACTTAGGCAAGACGTGTGCTTCATTTAACGCCTGATTTTCTCACTTCTAAAATGGGGATAATATATTATAAATAACAGCCTCTCCTTTTAACCATTGTATTAAATAAAATGTTGCATCATGCCTGGGACATGATAATTGCTTAATATTAGCAACTAGTTCACTGTTGTTATCATCACCACCAGCATCTTCAATTTAAATGAATTATTACTTTATTAAATGGAAAGCTACAAAAGTAGTAATTAAGCAAAAGTTATATTAGTTTGATGTAAGCACTCAAATTGTATAAAAAAAAACAACACATTGTACCCCACAACTGCATAAATGTATTCACGATCTATGTGTACGTGACTTTATAAAAGGAAAAAAAATATATATATATATATGCAAACAAGAGTTTCCGAATCAGGCAACACAGTCTGATGGTCAAGAGTGTGGACTCTGGAACAAGACTGCCTGAGTTAGAGCCTAGATCCCCCACTTACAAGCTGTCCCACCTCGGGTGAGTCACTCTGAGCCTCAACTTTCTGACCAGTTTAGCGTGGATAACAATATTGGAATAGACTTAATACAATGGCTATGAAGATTTACCTGACTAATATTTATAAAGTAATTAGAACAGTGCTCGGCATATAGTAAATACTGCAAATCAGATGATTTTTTTCTCTTCTGATAAAAGTTATGCTACAGCTAGATTTCCCTATTAAGTTCTAATATATATAGCCTATGGGGCTAATAAAGCATCATATGGACTTTTAAAACAAAAACAAAAACAAAAACAAATGCTTGCTGATGGAGTGAGAGCCATCACTCTCTCGGCTTGCAGCTCTTCAGCTGGGTCCTCCAAGGCCGTGGCTGGGAGGAATCCTCGCTGCAGACTGTGTGAGCGAGCCCTGCCCCTTGCCCCCGCCCCCTGCCCCCGTCACCTGTCCTCCACCCCCTGCCCCCGGCCCCTGTCGCCTGTCCCCTGCCTGCTGCCCCCTGCCCCCTGTCACCTGTCCCCCCACATCCGGAGAATCGGGGAAACTTCAGAGCGCAGCTCAGCCCGCAGAGTGGGACCCTGGGCTAAGTGGCTCCCAGGAAGCTTCCCATTCTACTTGCTAGAACAGCGTCTATAGGGGATGCCGACAGGGTCCAGCATGCACACCCTTCCTTGGGTTCCCATAGTAAAAACAAAGGAATAGACAAAGTTTTAAAAGAAAGATGACACTTAATTTTTTTTCAACATTCAAATAGCTTTCCTGTACATTCAAAGAGCTGCTCTGTATGCGGTTTTGTGCCCTCCGTGCTCCTTTGAATAGAATGGAAAACATCCCATGCATATCTCTAGCCATGCAAAGAAAAATATTTTTTCTACATTTAATAGATCGGTGCTCCATGAGATAAATGTGTTTGGTGAGGAATCAGAAGCCAGTGTCTCCTGGTCATGGCACTTTGTGCGCTGCTTCCTAAGCAGACGGAACTCCGCGGACCATCTCCCGCATGGCGCATGGCACGGTGTGTCCTCCTCCCCTCCTTGCCCTGGACATGCTCCATGCGCTCTCCAGCCTCAGCCCCAGCTACATCCTCCAGCGTTGTCAGCGCTAGGGGGGGGTCTCATTTGCTGATATTAAA